TTGAACGGTCAAAACCGAAAAGGTATCCTTTGAGACATATTGTCCCTATCAGTTAATACTGAAGTGAACAATTTAAAACAAATGGGAACTTACATCATATGTTACGAGAGAAATAAAAGGGAGAATATACTTTCATTGACAAAAAACAGGTTTGCCGAATGGCAACTTTTTTTCGCTTTCGTCCGGTCTCGAAATTGTGTGGGTGTTTATTTACATTACTATCCAAGTAATATTGATAACAAACTTTCAAATATCAAAACATAAGTGATAATCTGCAAGCCAGAAAGTACTGGATGGATCTTTCTCGAAGCTCCTATATATGCTTCCCTTGGCTCCTAGTTGCACATACTTCATGGCCACCTGGCGGCAATTTTTTTTTCTTCAATTCAGTCTCTAAAATAAACAAGGACCAAATGAAACCTACTTGTAACATTTAAGAAGAATCCGACCAGGACTTCTTGAGAAATGGTGATAACAAACATTAACGTCAAAGTCCAAGACGAATGCTAGAAAGCCTTTTTGTGCACTCCTGATCACTCTCATAACTGAAAACGCACAACTACAGATCCTAAGACACCAGCATGTGACTAAGAGACCTCCAGTGATTTCTGAGAAATAGAAACTTTCTTTCCAAATACAAGATGGCCGCCTTTAATTTGGTAACAAAAATGACCAAAGCCACAAATCTGTATATATTGGGGTACAAGACCCAATTTCAGTACGACATTCCAGCATCCAAAGTGATACTTCTGTACAAAATTTAGTAATTGGAGGTGAAAGGTATACAAGACCTGCCCTGAGCAAAGTGACATATGGTGAACAAGGGCAATTACTCTATAATCTGTATAAAGTGGAGCACAAAACCTTATTTTAGCATGTAACACTCACTGCCAATAGGTACTATACAAAATTTGACAATTGTATCCTGGTTGAAGAGTATATAATATATTTCCCAGACAAATTATGCATGGACTAACTGATGAACTGATGAACAGAGTGCAAACATATGGTATAATTCCCTCTCCAAGTACTGGCGAGGGATAAATTATCAGTCTTATTGACAACTGGCTAGGATAAATAATCAGTCTTACTGACAACTGGCAAGGGATAAATTATTCGTCTTATTGACAACTGGCATGGGATAAGTTATCAGTCTTATCGACAACTGGCCAGGGATAAATTATCAGTCTTATTGACAACAAACAAATAATTTTAGCTTCATTATTCGATATTGATACATTTTAATAATGTTACTACATTTAAAGACAATAAAGTGTACACAAAGCACATGCTGTTGCGGTGACTTAGTTTTGCATATACATGTTTAGTAGTTTTCAAAAAGAAATGCTTTCAGGTTTTTTATCCAAGTCTATTGGATACCATTTTTGACATATAAAATATTTTTTATTAAATTATCTGACAAAACAATACTGATAATGTACAAAAAGTTTAAACAATTACCTTGTAACGAAAACAACGCGAAAACAACATCAACATTCTCAATTAAACACAAACAGATTCAGCATCATTATGGCATAATATGTTAAGGTTTTCTGTCATAAATGACACTACAGTTATATACACGTACATGTTCTCATTTACAAAAACAAATATCATGAAATCAAAGCAAATTCAACCTTACACTAAACATCTATAATTTGTATTGGTTTAACCCTATTTGTCTCTAGTAAATCATAGTATGGATTTGATTGGTTTTAATTTCAATATTCCAATTGTAACATTATAATAGAGAGAGAAGACATGCATGTTTGACTAGTGGCAATGTTATTTGTTTTCAATTTTCATATCATAATGAGTTTAAAGAATCCCTATTCCACTGTTGGCAAATATACAGTTACCTCCCCTTATTTTCGTTTTGGAAATTATTTCATACTCAGAACTGTTGTTGATTATTTATTGTTTATTTCATCTTTATCTTCTTCATAAAAGCCCTGTAAAGAATTGCATTTTTCCAGAAATGATTTATCAAAGCTAAAATCATGCCAATATTTACAAGGTTGAGGTCATGCTTGAGCAATCTCCCTTCACTATGATACTGTTGGCTCGTAATTTTGTAAACCAATGTATTTATTTCTCGACATATCTTTACAAGCCAGTGAGACTGGAAGTTTTCGCTCCACTTTAGCATTATGTCAACATTACCAAGCATCAACTAGAAATGAGAGTTTGAATGCGAGGAAGCTGTCCATTTTACAGATGGTCTCAAATTATCATGGGTTTAACTGTTTGTAAATTTGTCCAAAACTATTACACAATGTAGACATGTTCACTATCATTACATACTTTCTTCCTAAAGTCATCACAGGTTTGTCCAATCATCACAGATTTTTCCAAAATTATTAAAATCTTGTCTACGTTCCCCTTCCATGTACAAATGCTATCTATTATGTGTAAATATTGAAAATACTCCTACAACAACAAATATCAACATCTCTATATATATGTTTGACAACAAGAAGGCTCCGTCCTTGATACTCCACAGGTTTTGCTCACTTTCTATCTCTGCACCCTTGGAATATATGTCATAGCAAATTTAAGGGCACGCGACTAGCTATTTGATTGGTCTCAGGTAAAAAAAAAAGACCAAATTGCTTAGGCTGATACCTGTCCTTTGAAGATTACACAAAAGTGACACCTGACTTTAAAGCCAGTCAATTTTACTGTTAAGCGACCCAGATTCTTTTTACGTACCTCGAAGGATCAAACTAGTCTTTTTGTCTCATCCAGAAGTTGACGCACTCTGAGCCTTCGATTTTGCTATGATATATTCCAGGGGAGCAGAGAGCGAAAGTGAGCATAACCCCTGGAATATTTAGGATGGAAAAGCTCATACCAGAAGTTTATACAAAAATCACTAAAACTTACAGTAACAATATGTACGTGTACAATGTATATACATCGCAAATGAATATCAACAGGTTTCATATCACAATATCCAGTGTTGTTTCATTTAAAATTGTGGAACAGAATAGTATAAGAATATATACATGTCATACATATAGAGTTCTGATTAACATCTAGGTCAAGGACACACATTTTATTGGACTTTTAACCCTTTCACTTTTATGTAACTTTAATAAACTCTACCATAAATTGATCTGGATGAGTCCATTGTAGACTACAGTGCATGTACGTGTTAGAAAGGTTAATATGATAGACACAGTTGTAATAAGATTAGGTGTAATAATCTTGATAATATTGTCCTTGTTCACCATGTACTATTTTAATACCATGAAGTACTGTATCGACAAAATTGTACAAACAGAACAGAATTTTAACACATTTAAAAAAAACCACACAATATATTATCTCTGTTACAGTGACCTTGCCCTTGTCCTTAGGAACTTGTGAAACCACTAAAGCATTTCTACATACCATAGGGTATCACCTTGTGAATTTTAGAGATTTTTAGAGACATCTGAAATACAAGATAATCCTTGGAAATGAAAATGTGGGTGGATAAACGGAGTCATTGGCATGATCAGAAAAGATTCAAACCACTATTCTCTCTAAATTTTTACCCCAAAAATGTCTTAGGATATCAACAATCTTTTCATATATGACACATTGACCCACACAAAACACACAATAACCCACCATTAGCTTGTTAAGTACTAATTAACAGTCAGGAGTAAACGGGACTTCCTTCTATCTTACAGAAGATGGAGCTTAAGCAAACATTTCTAATAATAACCGATTCAAATTGGAATATGAATGATAAAAAAATGGTCATGACATAAAAATTGAAGTATGTATATAATGCTGTGAACATGTGACACATAAAACAGTAAAATCAATTAAGCCTAGTCTGAAATGGCATTAAAATTCAGTATATTAATCATAATACTACAATGTAAAACAATCAGTAAAATTGCTTGAATGTCAAAATGCTGAATAAAATAGGATGACACTTAAACAGTGCTGTTGACTTCTTTGCGGTGGTATTATTCTATGCATTTTTTTTGTGTACAATAAGATCAGCAAATTAAACACACAGTTCTATAAAAGAACTATATCTACAAGTGTACTATATACACACCGAACAATCTAAATACTATTCTACACAATATACTGAATCTAAGTTTATACAATCTTACCCTTTGTTCTCAGAGAAAAAAAATTCCGAAAGTATGTTTTTGATTAACTTATTCAACATAAAGAATGATAAATCAATCTTCAAAAAGTCTTCATTTTTTGGTAGTTTTAGTAGAACATAATTTTTTGGGGGGAATGAACCTCAGATCAAAAGTTATAGAAAAATAAAGATCGTGAGGATTTGCAACTTACAATTCAATAAGGAACCATATTTTGCACAGCCATTACTAGAAACACAGGTATACACACCTGCACAGTAATGATAAGTTTGGCCTTATCCTACTTATCCTGTATCTGTTAAACAAGATGTAAGTTGCATTTACACTCAGAACTTTAAAAAAAAAAAGATAAATATATATCAAAAGCAATGCAGTAAAATTGGTAAGATCTCAGGGAAAAATAGAAAATATGTCAACCTAATAATTCATTATCATAAAATAAAAAAAGAAATTAGACATTGAATATTATTTCTAAAACAGCAAAAAACGCAGGAGCAAAGTGACTACCTTTTTTTAACAAGTCTCAAAACAAAGGTCTTTTTATAGGTCTCCCTTCATGTACTACTTTACCCCTTTATAATGTCAAAAATTCTGTAGAGATGATGAAAAAACAGCAAGGTTTTAATATGTATGTATATATATATATATAAATAAAACAAAACATGAAGATTAGTATACTCGGCTAGCGCTTTTGCCCATCTTTGGGCTCTTCAGTCGATTTAAATTTATTTGTGACTATATATTTATACATATAAAAAGAAAAATTCTTAACAACAAGTCTTTAGTACTTTTATCTCTTCTAGGAGATTCTTCAGTCTCCTAGAAGAGATTTAAGTACTAAAGATCGTTGTTATTTTTTTTTTCTCCTTATATAATATTTATATATATATATATATATATATAGCTATTACAAGTTAATATCAAGAAGATCTGTAATAGAAATTATTGATTTTAAGCCTCTTCACTGTTAATCACAATAAGTACAAATCATACAGGGATCAATCAGTTTGCGGGGAATGACCAGGTAACCTTTTGGTGATTTTGGGGGGGGAAAAATCCCGTTAATGTAATATCTGGAGCTTCACCTTCAGAAACGTAAGTTTTTAATACAACTAGATCACAAATACATGAAACCAATCCTTCCTAACTGTATAGGGTTGTAATTCAAAATTTTAGTACTTTGTTTGATCTTACAAATGTTTTAAATGTATTGTCTAAGAACTTTCTTAAAAACAAAACAAAAAAGTTCAGAGTATGGGAAACCTTGAAAGAAAACCAGTAAATTTTCCAGGTCCGACCGAAATGTTATGACTTGTGGACGCTTTTTCTTCAGGAATTTTTTTACAAAAGTTGGCCTATAATGATCCCATGTATGTTACTTTGATCTACTTTGGAAATATCACCCAAAACTGTATGAACAATAAATTCAAATAATATTCATATAAAATATTTTTTAAATACAACAGATTATGAATTTTTTTCTTCAAATTTTGATTGAATCCTTATAGTTATGTCTGAGGTTCCAAATAAAAATAATATGAATTACAAGTCATATATGTATTACTTTTGATTTTTATAGTAGATATTTGTATTTAAACAACAATTTGTTTGAAAATAAAAAAATCACAAAATCGCAAAAAAAACCTGAAAGCTATCTAGTGTTTTGCTGCATTCTTTCAAAGCCACGAGTCTGACCCATTGTCTCAAATCACCTGTATCATTACCAATTTCAGAACACCATCTAATTTTTCACAATTTTTCTGACTTCATCCATGTCGCAAGTAACATTGTCCTCCTTGATAAACCAATGGTGCCACTTTTTGGCACGGTCAATTTTCACCTTGTTTCCGAGAGCCCAGTTATTGTTGATAATGTCTGGGTCCAGCTGTTTCTGTTTAGATTCCGGATAAGAATACCATTTCCCGTCAGGATAGACTTGCAGAGTCAACATTTTGTACTGTATCCCTTTGTATCTTGACATGATCAAAGCAGACAGGAACTGTTGATCATTGTCACCTTCTGAAATTACTTGGTTGGGTGGCAGTTTTTTCAAACGGGTATCAAGATTATAGAGTTTATCAACAAGTGCTCGCCAAGTCACCTTCATTGCAGTTGTTGGACGCATGAACAGAAACCCACCTGCTATAATACCTGGTCTTTCGGATACTGGAGTCACTAGAATATCATATTGTTTGGCTGTCTTTTTCAACACTGGCAATGGATTGCGAATCCAAAGGCAATCTACTTCAAATAGGAAAATCTCGAGGTTGGCATTCAGCATGGCTAAAAGAGCCTCAGTCCTTCTGACCATCAGTCTTACATAGCCTGCGTGGCTGTATACCTGGTCTCCACTCAGAGAGAGGCCCGACAGAGTCACAGCACTCACTTCTGGCCAGTCCTTGTGAAGCTTGTCTCTGGACACAGTGTCAGTCGTAATGAACAACACTTGTTTGTGAATGTCCATGTATTTTGTGTTACACAGCCAACTATAGGTGAAGCTCATGTAGGCATCATTTATAAGTGTGACCAGAACTGTATCATTGGTTGTGGAGTGGATTCTTTTCCCCATTTCTACCACAGACAAAATACCACTATCTTGGTTAATCACAGTTTCAGGGTTAGATTCTATGATAATGTTGGTGTTTCCATGCAATGAATCACGCTTCATCTCATTATCATTTGATGTAACAGACCTATCTGCTTTGAAGTAGATCAGAAGTGGACACACTACTGCTATAGTAAAGACTAGAGGAACCAAAACAAATTTTTTCATCATCCTCATCTTTCAGCTTAAAATCTCCTTTCTAAAATGAAGCTGTAATTATACTTTATGTTGTGGCAAAAAACCTAAACAGGTATGCATTCTTTTGAAAGTTCATATTTGATCAGGAGTTGTGTCACTTCCCTCGTGATTATCCTGTTAGCCTGAAAAAGCAATGAAAAATATTAAAGTTATAAAGTAACTGGAACGTGATTATTGTTATTGACATATCCGAAATGACATAATGTAGCTTTAAAGATAAATTCTCAAGAAACAATATTATATAATAACTGTAACAGGAAAGAGAGCAGTCTGCTTCCACCAGGGATTTAACCCGGGATCCCTAGGTTTCTAGTCAGATACTCTACCACTGAGCTCAAGGGAAATTCCCTCTAACTCGAAGCAGGAGGGCAACCATAATCCTTATGTACAATTAAAATTTTAAATGTGTTGCCCTCGAAAACCAAAACCCAGGTTTTAGCTCCCTGTCACTACAGGGAGGGCCACAGATACCATTTAAAGTAACAGGAAAGAGAGGAGTGTGCTTCCACTGGGAATTGAACCTGTGATCCCTAGGTTCCTAGTTGGATGCTCTACCACTGAGTTAAAGGGAAATCCCCTCTAGCTTGACGCTAGAAGACGACCGTAATCCTATGTACAATTAAAATCAGCCACATCACTTCAACATATTCTGGGAGATACAACTGATAAGTAAAATGAATTATTATGTGAAAGGAATCATACAACCTTAACATAAATTTAAACGTTGACTAACAACAATTTCTCCAAGGGCTATATCTGTAACACAGCTCACCACATTCATACATGATCTCGCATCAAACAACAACATCAACAAACAGACAGACATCATCATTATGGACTTTGCCAAAGCTTTCGACAAAGTCCCACACAAACGACTATAATACAAACTCAAATATTACGGGATAACAGGGAACACACACGCATAGATTACAGACTTTCTCTCATTCTGCACCCAAACAGTAGTACTCGAGGGCAAACAATCAGACAAAATACAAGTAACCTCTGGGGTCCCTCAAGGAACCTGTTTGGGCCCCATCCTCTTCCTCATCTACATCAATGACTTCCTTAAATACATGAAATATAGTACACTCAGACTGTTTTCAGACGACAGCATCATATACAAGACGATAAACAACAAAGAAGACACACTAAAACTACAACATGACCTTAAGCTTGACGCAGCAGGACAATGGGAGACGGATCTGCTGGCTACTGAATTTTCACCCTGACAAATGCAACATACTCAACATTGCACCAAAACGCAACAAAATACACCATGACTACAAACTCCACAACCACACATTACACCAAGTAGAATCCAGCAAATACTTAGGCTTAACATTACAAAATAACCTACGATGGGACAAACATATTAACAACATCACAGCCAATGCCAATAGGTCCCTAGGTTTTCTAAAACGCAACTTAAAAATAAACTCACCACATATAAAAGAACATGCATACAAAGCACTAGACAGGCCAAAACTTGAATACTGCTCTTCCATTTGGGATCCACACAACACAAAACCAAATTAAACAAATAGAAAAAACATAATGAAGAGCAGCATGCTACGTACACAACAGATAGCACAACACCAGCTCCGTAACATACATGATCCACAAACTACAATGGCCAACAGTCTACAAACACGGCGCTGTCACACAAGAATTATGCTTTTTCACAAAATTTTACACCAAACAGTAGCCAAAAACCCAACTCACATCCGTAGACCCTCGAACCAGACATGCACACCCTCACGCATACAAACACATATCTGCTACAAAGGACACCTACAAATATTCATTCTTCTCACACAATAACACAATGAAATCTCCTTCCCATACTGGCCATAGCAGCAGTACAATGCACAACACTAGAGGACTTCACGGCACACTTACCCTATGCAGCCCTTGAAGCCCTCATCACACGCTAAAAACATATGTCAGCTTTTATCTTTTATCTATACCTTCAACCTTGCACAAAAAATCACAAAAAAACACCCAACTAATCACTGTAATTTGTAAATAAACCCCTTTTTCACGCCTCTGCAATAGGACCCCGAGGGCATAAACATCAACATTGATGGAGCCCCCGTAAAATAAAGAAGAAGATCTCAATCATAAGGGGTAGGTATACTCTAGAGTTCTACCTCCAAAATAGAAAGTAATTGTTACAGGTTTTGGAGATAACCAGGAAGTAGGATTTAGGACTTACGTCATGTATCATACTCCAGGGGTCTGTTCGTTTATGCAGAACAACCGGTTTGTCTGTTTTTCAATGTAACATGTTCGGGTATAAATCCTAGCGGGCCTGCAAATGTTGATGCAGGCCTTGCAAGGTTTTGTCAAAGCTCGTCTGAAAGCAGCATCAGATTCAGATTACCACCTAAGGTCCGACTGTAATGCATTTAAACGAACAACTCTGGTCTAACAGTTCTGATCGCGATAAACGAAAGCGACACGTGTCAGATATGTTACAAGAATTGTTTAAAATCATCAATCACCGTTACTACGCGGTGATTAAGATAGAAAATTGCACTATGGTAGCTACCTGCTGGCGTGACTCCTAAGTCAGACATATTTTTCTGGGCTTCCTCTACTCGGAGTACATCGGCGTTTATCATTTCCGCATTTAGTTATCGTTGCGTCAGCAAAACATTAAGAGCAAAAACACATTTCCGTACACGGTCACACTCATAAGTGTCCAGCGAGAAATGAGTGGCCAGTAGATATTTTGCGCGTCTAGCAATTCTTTAAGTGATTTTTCATATATTTTTTTCCACGACGGATTTTATATTATTTACAGCATTTGTCATTTTTGTGGAAGGGGATGGGTGCGACTAATCACCGAAACGGAACCGAAACGGAGTCGAAATGTAAAATGTAAGCTATTTATAGGGAATCAATACAGTTTAGATTGTGTGTGACAAAAACGGACCCCGATCGGAACCGAAACGAAAGTGTAAATGTTTTGGGGGGTTTTTTGTAAAGAGGTATGGCGGAAAACTGCCCGTATTTCCTTAAGTCGGCATTTATAAAAACGGCGAAAAAAATTAAGGAATTAAACATTTCGTGTAGCCAAAATGCATATGCATACAAAAGATACAAAACCAATTGAACATGAATTTTTAAACTGCTGAGAAATTAGGTATTTCTAATATGATACTGCAAATATAGCCATATACACTATATCTATGAAAGTGATGGGGTTTCCCGGACTTAAAAAAATACGTTCAACACTTTTCCATCCGAGGACCAACTTTTGAATAAACTTTTTGTGACCGTGATGTAAAATGCAAAAACATATCGTATTACGAAAAAGTGGTCCTCCTTTGGGAAAGTGCTCAATATAATGAAAAACAGTGGTGATCAAGTTTCTCTAAACTGCGACCGCTGTTTCTCGGGTTAAATTAGTTTGTAATTGCCAATATCTGTATGTTCTATGTAGCCGAAGGTGTAACGCAGTTTACTTGTGACTAGAAAATAAAGGGTGCAGGTTCGAATCCTCCTTCAGTTATTTTTGTTTTAAATATTTAGGCATGTGATAATTTTCCTTAATAAGGCAATGTTTTTTTGTTGTTGTTTTAAATCGATGGAAGATTTTGTTTACATTTTAATAACATACCTATTGATTTATCAGTTTTGTTATTAATAATTTCTTTACTATTTAGTGCGACATACTTCTATCGAAGCATGTCAACAAATCCCTGTACACGTGTAAAGTACAGCTACGCTTTGTAGGTAAGACACTATTTTTGATGAAGTTTATGAATTGTTTTACCCTCCAACTGGCAATAGTAATTATATCAAGTGCTTAAACACCAACAAATAATGCCGAAATACCAAATATGTGGTCTGTTTACAATAATCTATTCTTAGACACGGGATTCCGATATTGCTACCTGTATAAAAATACCTGAGGACGCGTCATAACAATGCACGGTTGGATGCGCGCACTAGCGTAACATATAGCTTTGGGGAAATAGGCATAGCAACCCGCCATATCTCTTTGAGCTGTGTTTCTTTATTTCTCGTGGAATTACTTCTTTGCCCCATATATATACACAACATATAAATAATTCCAACAGTGTGGACAGGTTTAGGTTGCCAAATTTTCGGAGCGATCCGCTCCTTTATCAAGACACAGTGAAACAGAACAGTTACATGTACATATACATCATATTACAAGAAGATAGAACTGATATACTATAATTGAAAATATAGCTATTGTATAAAACCAATAGTCCCCTCGGCTATAATATATATATATATATATATATATATATATACATACAATAATGTCATGTAAATACAGGTGCACGACTTGATGTTCATACAGAAGAAAGACAATTATATCATAATGCAGTGATGAGACATCACATGTCTTGATACGTTACGTTATTTTCTCTCTTTTTATTTCTTGTTTTTCTCCATTGGATTTCCCGACTCATTTTGATTTTATTTTCAATTTATTTAATGCTAATTGTGTTAGAAATATTGATATTTGCCTATTTAAATGAGCTATCCATTCTTATCTCAGCATAAAAAATACTTGTGACGCTATAGACACAATGTTAAATTTTGTGTAAATGGTATTACGTTTTATCAGGGACATTATATAGTATTACACTATACGTCCCTGGTTTTATAAATGGATAATTGTATCAACAGTTCAACATAATTGTGTGCCGAATTTTCGGAAATGGATGAGTCTTCTTTTCTCTCTTCTTTTTTAAAATTTTGCCAAGAAAATGTGAATTTATGGCACATATGAAGCTGTAGAACAAATCATTATATCATACTGTAAAAGTAACCGAATTGTAAAATGAAATACTTTGAAGGCATGACACTGCATGTTGATAAGAATGTTCATGTATTTTTATCTCGAAAATGTAATTAAGGTTAACCCTACAACTAACTTTTGAAATGAAAAGAATTAACAATTTATATAGAAAGCTCTGAGTTTTTCTTCTTAAAATAGAGAAGGGTTCGGTATGCTTTTATTTTACCATATTATTTAGTGTTATTCGTTTCAATACTTTTCAAATCAAAAGAAATTCAGTTACGCATTTTGAACAAGAGGCCAAATGGCCCTGCGTCGCTCACCTGGTATTAATGTCAAACTTGTAATCTTAAAAGTGGACTAAAATACAGCTACAGGCAGAATATCAGTGTTTGATTCATAAGTACTTATTAAAAGATTTAAACATATGACGCCTGTGACCTTGAATGTCGAACAAGGACATTAGGTTGAAAGTGGGTCAAGGTCATTCATTTGAACAAACTTGGTAGTCCTTCATCCCAGCATGCTACAGGCCCAATATCAGTACCCTGGGCCTTTTGGTTATTGAGAAGAAGTCGTTTGAAGATTTTAAGATCTTTGATCCCTGTGACCTTGAAAGTTGGTCAAGGTCATTCATTTGACCAAACTTGATAGTCCTTCGTCCCAGCATGCTACAGGCCAAATATCAGTACCATGGGCCTTTTGGTTATTGAGAAGAATTCGTTTGAAGAATTTAAAACATTTGATCCATGTGACCTTGAAAGTTGGTCAAGGTCATTCATTTAACCAAACTTGATAGTCCTTCATCCCAGCATGCCACAGGCCCAATATCAGTACCCTGGAGTACCCTGGGCCTTTTGGTTATTAAGAAGAAGTTGTTTGAAGATTTTAAGACATTTGACCCCTGTGACTTTGAACATTGATCAAGGTCATTCATTTTAACAAACTTGGTAGCCCTTCATCCCAGCATACTACAGGCCCAATATAAGTACCCTGTGCCTTTTGGTTAATTGTGAAGAAGTCGTTTGAAGATATTAAGACATCTGACCCCAGTGACCTTAAAATTGGGTCAATGTCTTTCATTTGAACAAACTTGGTAGCCCATCATCCCAGCATGCTACAGGCCTAATATCAGTACCCTGGGCCTTTTGGTTCTTGAGAAGAAGTTGTTTGAAGATTTTAACATGTTTGACCCCTGTGACCTTGAAAGTGGGTTAACAAACTTGGTAGCCCTTGATTCCAGCATGCTAATAGCCAAATATCATCATCCTAGGCCTTTTGGTAACTGAAAAGAAGTTGTTTAAAGTAAAACGTTGACGCCGGACAGAGGGACGACGGACGCCGCACCATGGCATAAGCTCACTTGCCCTTCGGGCAGGTGAGCTGATATTATATGAAACATATTCTTTGATATACCAATATCATTTTAACATTTATGTTGAGTATAATTTTCATAATATTGAACGCTTTCAAAGCAGTAATCTATTTGCTACCGTTTAAAATGACAATACAATTACACTTTAGGTGATGTTATGTAAACAAAAAAGTTTTATTTATTTAAATTGCTATCGAATGGGTCATTTGTTAGCTTTATTTTCTCAGATGCAATTTTCAAATCAATTTTTGGTTAAGTGACTAGCGAATCAAATCACGTGCTCTGGTGGTCTACATGAAACTCAGATGGGCGTTGTTATCAGTACTCCTGACCGACGTATAAATTGTGGTGTAACTTAGTTTGCAAGAACTTGTAATTAGTAGACGAAAGAAGACATCATGACAACAGAAGTTATATTCGGAAGCAGTTACATCGAGCGGCTTAGAAGATTCTGCAATGACAACATTGAAACTCCGTGTACCACCGTATTCTGCGGCCGATGAGTCTACGCACGGACCGAATGCACCAACCTACTTTGAAAAAGGCATTGGCAGCAGCACCAGATATAGTATTCATTACCATTGGAGGAAATGACATAGAAGCAGAGTCAAAACCAAGGGACATTTTCAACGGGATTGTTTCGTTAGTCGAAACTCTGCGCGGCTCGGGAGCTACAAGATTGCAGAAATCCTTCCTAGGGTCAAGCACCACCGTTTTCGACAGGCAGAGAAACAAAATCTTCGACAGGCATAGAAACAAAATCAGCGCAATCCTACGTAAGGAATACGATAATGACTGCGTAAGATTCCCGGATATTATCTTGTACACCTTGACACAGTATGCGTCCAGGATCCGCCGATGTCTCCACAGCAGCTGAGTCCCCATTGTAACAAAGCGGCCCTTTTCAGGGCCAGCCACTTCCCTCAAAAAGTCCAATAACGCTCGAAAAACGCCAAAAATCTTGTATCAGAAAAAAATATGATATGATAAGATGTATAAATAAGCATTATTTTTACTCGCATGTAACATATCATAAATATCAGGATATTCAAAGAAAAAAAAATAACAAAATGGGGGGTGGGGCGGTTCGGATGTAACAAAATGGGG